CTGCATATAAAAGGCAAGGAATTTTCTCGCCATCCAAAGTGATTGAATCTGTTTTATAATCAATGATGGTGGGGAGATCACTTAGAAATATTTTTAAAAGACTAGGCTTAGAACATCGCTCTGTCTTACTCCTACCTCAGACATGAAAAACTCTGTCATTTTATCATCAACCCTAACACACCACACAGTCTGTCATTACATTGATTTCAAAAATCTATAAAAGTAACCATTAACATTATACATTTGTAATTTGTACATTACACCAACATGAATAACTTTGTCAAATGCTTTACAAAAGTCTACAAAGCATGCACTCAACCTTTTATCATCAGATTTTAGATATTTATCTATTATACATTTGAGAACAAAAATATAATCAGAGGTGCGTGATCCCTTTGATAAACCAATTTGGGTCTTATGTATAAAATTATTATCTAAAAGAAATTTATCAAGTTTATTATAAAGTATTAAGTTAAAAAGTTTACCAATGCCATTATTTATAGCTATTCCTCTTTAATTTTCAGGTTTCTTTGGATCCTCGGATAAATACCTGATGCAAAAACTGCATTATAAATCTTTAAGAAACAAGTATCAATATAATTTTGTGAGACTTTCAGCATTTCATTGCTCACATTATCTAGTCCTGGACTTTTGCCATATTTTAATTTGGAATAAGCTTTTTGTAGCCCTGCCTTCGTAATCTTGAAATCAAGAGGTGAAAAACTTCTTTTTCCCTCTTCCAATATCTTAAATTCATTTTCTATCTTGTATAGTCTTGATTTTAAATTGTTTGGGACTAAACCAAAGTTAGAAAAATATTTGTACCAAGTATCACCATCAATGTCGGACGCTGATTTATCTGTCTGCTCATTACGCAGTTGATTAGCTAGAGACCAGTATTCATTTGGATAACTTGATTTTAATTCATCTAGACGATTTAGAATGTTTTGTTTAAATTCTCTTCTCTTTTTATCCTTCAGTTTTGCATATTTTTTATTTATTTTAAAAATGAACCACGCACCACTGGATCCCTTGGAAATTTTGACATTAAACAAGCCTTTTCGTCAACCATTTTTTTTTAAAATACAAAAATCAACGTCATTCCAATTTTTATTTTTAGCTTTAACCTTTTTCTTTCTTTTTATAGAAGCTTAACTTACTTTTTCAAAAAATGTTTGTTGCATTATTAATGCTAGTTTCATCAGGATTGATCTCCTCATTAAAAAATTGCTGAATATCATTTTGTATTGCAGGGTGCGTAAATGATTTCTGAAATTAAGGCACACTTTCGGCTTTCCAAATATATCTTAATAGAAAATCTTTAAAATTAGAACTGTTTTATTTTGCTTAAAATTTGCAAGGATTTTAAAACATATTTTACTGTGGCAATCTGAAAAATTTGCCTTAAAATCTGATACATTGAAATATAACATATTATGTATTAATCTCTCAGATAAAAGGACGTATTCGACAACACTACAACCATAAGGTTTTTAATAAGTGTAGCTTCCTGAGCTATCACCACAACATCTTTCATTCAAAATACGAATTTGATTACTAATAAAAAATGCAAGTTAAGTTTTACCTCTTGAATCTACAATGAGATCTCGACTGGCTCTCTCCTCTTTAAAATAGTCAATATTATAGTTATTATTTTGGATTGGAATGTGATGAGTATCATCATCTCCAATAAAATCGCTTTCAGACCCAGTTCTGGAATTAAGATCACCAGCTATCAGAATATCCCCAATTTTGCCATACTTTTCAGTCAGTATATCTCTCTCAATTGTTTCGATAATATCTACTCTACTTTTAGGGGCATAGTATACTAGACACAAGTATATGTCTCTTTCGAACTTTAATCATTGGTACTCAGATGTACCGTTATTTAGGAATTTTATACCTGTTTTTATACTTTTCCGGATAAGGATGCCAAGTCCACCAAAGTATCTATTATTTTTAGATTTTTCTCTACAAAACTTGAAGAAGTGAAAATTTTTAAATTTTATCTTGTGTTCATATCCAATATGAGTCTCTGTTAACTGATAAAATTGAGAATGGAAATGGGTAATATGTCAAAGAGACAACAACCCGACCAAAGAGCAGACAACAGCCGAAGGCCACCAATGGCTCTTCAACGCAGCGAGAAAATCCCGCACCCGGAGGTGTTCCTCAGCTGGCCCCTCAATAAAATATATCGCTATTACCAAATTCAGAGATAAAATCCTTATCATTAGTCTTATTATAATTCTCAGATAGTAAACCACCCACATTCCAGCTTCATATATTTAAGCTTGTTCTCATCTCTTCTATGGGTATTCTGAGTGTATATTTTAAACTGGTTATATGTCATGGTATCATTTTGAACAGATTTTATTATTTTTGTGAAATTCTTAATTTCAGTAAAAATTGGAAAAGTTCTAAGTTTAAAGCAAATTATTTTAGTTAAACATTTTATTTCAATTCTGGACATACATTTCAATAGCTTTAGTTTTGATTTTCACACAATCATATTTCCTTTTAGTAAGCCTTATTGTGTTGTATATAGATTACGTAAGAAGATATCGGACAATGGTCAGAATGTGTTGACAGATATGATTTTTAAAGTGAAGCCGACATGTAATAAGATGTATTTCGGATTATTTCTATTGTTAATGTCCAGCCCAAATAGGGTATAGAGTAAACATTGATAGCGGGATTACATAAGTAATTAAGATATTTTTTAGTCTTAAGCGTCACTTATGACCCCACCCATTTTCTGTCAATTAGACTAAAGTTGTCATGGTTTTTTGATTAAATGTTAATTTTGATTGGACAAACTTGAAACAGTCCCCAAATTCGAATCTAAAAAGTTATTTCCAAAAAGCGTCACTTTTACTATTCTTTGGAAATAAAGACATAAAACTATTTCAAGTTTTATTAAATATTGTTTCAGGCAAGCAAAGTTAATTTTATTTTGTTAAATATAATCTTAAGCATTTTGTTTAAAGGTTTTCATAACCTCAAAGTAACTTCTGATAAAGTTATTAATTTGCTAATGCGTAATTCTTTTTGAATAGAAATAGAATTTATTTTCCTTTTGTAAAATCTTCATGTTAGGCACTTTCATAGATATTTTTCATCTTTTATTATCTTTATAAAGAAGTTAATTATCAAGATATTTTCTTTATGCTATAATTGTAAATAGTTGTAAATAATGTTTTTTATAAAGAAAAGTCTTTGTTTCTGATCGGAAAAATGGTATACTTATTTTATCTGTTTTTATAGTTATTTATAACATCCCCCCGCCTGTTTTGTCGCACTGGCCCAAGACCACAATTAATGATCCCGCTTTTCGTTGTCCCACGAATATAGTTCCTTTTAATTAGAGTGTATTTTTTCTTAATTTTTTTTCTTTCCCTTCCTCACTCATTTCTTAGTTTTTTGTGGGTGGAAATAAAAGAAGAGAGGTGAAATAAACTTTTGGATGTTGTATTTTAACTGATTTTGATATGGAAAGAGTGATTAGGCCAGGTGCAAAAGGTGATATTTACAGTTTTCGGAACATCTCTTGACTTGTCCATAGGGGTATGGATGTGTATTGGCTAAATTTGTAAGAGTCATTGGTTCAATCTTTCTGAATTTTGGATATATTTTTGGACTAGTACTATACATTACACACACAAAAGATTTGACAAAAATGCAAGGTGCAATTTTTTTAATGAAACAAAACGTTATAAAGAACTAATAGGGGAATTTAATTGTGGTCTGTGGCCCACTGACAAGAAATAATAATTCACCTTAAAGTTACTATTGCATTGAAGTTATAATGTTTCCAATGGTACACAGGCAAATTTTGTTCACGTAAATTTCACGTGAATTTCACATGAAATTTTTCACGTGAGATTCACCTCAAACGAGCTTATACATGAAACTCACGTGAAATTTTTCACGTGAAACTCACGTTAAATTTACGTGAATTTCACGTGAATCGAGCTTTCACATGATATTCACGTGAAATTTTTCACATGAAATTAACGTGAATCGAGCTTTCACGTGAAATTCACGTTAAATTTTTCACGTGAAATTAATGTGAATCGAGCTTTCACATTATTTTTTTTAAATGAAATTAAGGTGAATTGAGTCTCAATCACACAAATTTCACAGTATTTCAGCATATTTTAGATAAGTAAATGCTAATCTAGTACACATTCTATTTTGATATATATAAATATTCTTCTTGGTCTTGAGGATGAATTCATACTTCCATTCTATTTTACTTTCTCTTTGTATCTTAAATTTCTTGGTCCTAAACAATACAAATAATATTTATTCATCAACTCCAACTCACAATATCTTCAATGCAGCAGATAGATTCAATAAAACCAAGAAGGCAAGCAAATATCCAGGGCACCATAGTTCACTCCTAGAACATTTTTGGTTGTGTTCATGTCTCAATATTTTTGTTAATTTGATGTATGGAAGGTGATTTATTTATAGAAGATGTATGCACTGATGTATATTTCATTTTTAATATGTATGTATAAGTCTTTTTGTGTTCATCAGTTTTGAGACATTCCAATCACATTATGGACAAGTATTACTTGCAAAAGATGCCAATTCTTCTTATGAGTTTTTTGAAGAAAAAAGGTAGTTCACCCTGCCACATACTCATGTACTCTGGTCAATTAAAACAGATCATGACATATTGTTTCGACACCTGTCTATTGTTGAGGACTTTTCAGGTGTTTTTGTTGTTGTGTTACTGTCTGATTGATTTATACCTCAAACCTCATTGTATTAATAAACTGAAATAGAAAGTTCTGTGAAATATATTTGATATACCATATTGAAAGTCTTGCTGTTATTTACAACCATTTCTTTCTTATTTCATATATGGTTTTCAGTTTTTCATTTTACCACTGATCTTAAGGTTAAGTCAAAAAGAAAATAAATGGTGACAAACAACAGGCATATACCATTAAAAGATCTCAAAGTTTGGCTTCACAATAAGCTAAAAATTCTTGTTATTTATATATTTATAAAAAATTCATTTTAAAACAAGCATTTTCCATTTTTAGACAGTAACTGTCATGTTGACACAATAATTTGAATTAGAATTGTATGATATACTGAAAGTACTTGTAGTTGAAAAAAAATATATACAATATTTAATTCCTGGTGTTTAGATTTCTAGAATGCACCACGCCCATATCATGACTACATGTTAGTAATGTTTAAGTGTTCTCTCCTGCATATGTAATTGCTACATGTATTTATACACAAGGCTTCCTTCATACATTTGCACTTATCCTTCTAAGATGTTGCTTCCATGATAAAATCCTGTAGTTGCATAATCAGCCATAAACTCTTGGAATACATTTGCTGTAATAAAAAAAAAAAACCAGCATATATTATTTTGTAAAATATACATCAAATTAAATATTGCCTTACTATTCAAGCAAAAATGATAACATCAATTTAATATTTAAACTTACCGGGTACATATATGTATATACTTTTATAAATTGAGACTTGGATGGAGAGTTGTCTCATTGGCACTCATACAACATCTTCTTATATCTATGTATATAATCATACATGTATATTGTGTGTCGGATTAACTGGAGTGGAATATTAATAGTTGTTGTTTGTTGCTGCACTACTTTTTGATTACCTCTGCTATGGAGCTTGTGGAGGTTTGTAATGGTTGAAATTTGCCATGAAATCTGGAATTTGTAAACATTACAGATGGAAATCAAAATGCTCTGATCATTCTGATGATATAAACCTATTTAATATTAATTTCATAAAATTCTAGCAAGAATTGTACACAAGAGCCATAACAAAGCAATTTTCCAAATAATTAATGTTTCCAAGGGGCATAACTCTTTTAAAAATGAATGATTGGCACTGATTTTAAAACTTGTCAGACATTGTTGATATAACCTATCAAAATAAGTTTCCTAAAAATTTGACAAGAATTGTACAAGACATGCAAGTGAGAGCGCTTATAAGGCCAAAAGGATAGACAGACTCCAGGTATTTGTATGTCCCCTCTGTTTTATGGTGCTTGTCCTAAAGATACAAGAATAATTATAAGTTTACGATAAGGACCAAATATACTTAACATTACCAATGATTCATAAAAATATACTGTCAAGCAATTCATATTAAGGTCAAGTTCAGATAAACCAAGCCAGACAGACATGTGCACCTTACAACATTTACAATTATTGCATACACCAAACTAGAGGCTCCAAGGACCCTGTGTCGCTCACCTGATATTTTTATTTACAATTGATGCATGAAATAATGTAACTGTTATACTTTTGCTTTAGTTTCAGAGATACAAGTCAAAAACTGCATTTTCCCTTTATGTTCTATTTTTAGCCATGTCTGCCATGTTTTTAAAAACTAGATCCCCTAATGATGATTGTGGCCAAGTTTAGTTTATTTGTCTCTGTTGTTTCAGGAGAAGACTGTTGTGAATTAAAAAAAATTACGAAAAATTGTTAAATTTTACTTTAAAGGACAATAACTCCTTATCAGGTCAATTGACTATTTTGGGCATGATGACTTATTTGTAGATCTTGCTTTGCTGAACATTATTGCTATTTACAGTTTATCTCTATCTATAATAATATTCAAGATAATAACCAAAAACTACAAAATTTCCTTAAAATTACTAATTCAAAGGCAGCAACCCAACAACAGACAGATATATTATATATCATAATCTGATGAACATATTTTACCCAATGTCAAATTGTCTCTAAATGCTTTACTTTCAGAGATATAATCCAAAAACAGCATTTTACCACTATGTTCCATTTTAAGCAATGTCTGGTAGGCGGGGTCATCAGATACACTTTTTACACTAGATACCCTAATGATGATTGTGGCAAAGTTTGGTTAAATTTGGCCAAGTAGTTCCAGAGGAGAAGATTTTTGAAAAAGTTAACAGACGACGACGCCAAGTGATGAGAAAAGCCCCCCCCCCTTTTTTTTTTACAAAAAACTCAATATCTCTAAAATAAAATTTTGAATCAAAACCAAAAGGTATACAGGTCTTTAGATTAATATAACTAAGAAGTGTGTAAAATTTCAAGCAATAATCATAAATCGTTTTTGAGGTACGGAGCGACATGTGAAACCCCCTTTTTAAAAAAAAATCAATATCTCTAAAATAAAATTTTGAATCAAAACCAAAAAGTATACAGATCTTAAGATTAGTATAACTAAGAAGTGTGTAAAGTTTTAAGCAATAATCATCAATTGTTTTTGAGATACGGCGCGACGTGACGAAAAACCACACACCTGTTTTAGTTACTAAGTCCCGTAACTCAAAAAGTTTTAATCTTATTTTCACCAAAAAGTATACAGATTGTTTGACCATCATAAGAAACAACTATCTTATTTTTCATGAAATTTGGATAAGTCGTTCTCAAGTTACGGTGCGACATGTTTACGCCGGACAGACAGACGACATTTGTATACCATAATACAAAAAATGTACATCCCGTCAAAACTTTGACGGATGTATAAAAAGCTGATCTTTTAATTGATTATACATGTAGCATGTATAGTATACACTAAACAGACTAAATTATTAAATCTTAATATTGACCAATGAACCATCCAAATCAGATCATGCATGGTCAGATGAACTCTGTCCAGACAGACATCATGGACATGTACAACTTACAATCATTCCATACATCATATATACTTGACATATTGCCTACAAGAAATAAAAGTTAACATTGACCAATGAACCATGGAAATGAGGTCATTGTTCATTCTAAACACCAAATACAGTTGATCTACTCAAGTTCTGCTTACTATATCTGAGAAAAGGACCGACATGTGTTAATCACGTAACTTTTACCTTGACAGCTCCATGAAGTAAGGTCAGGTGATCCTGTCTCACAGACATGTACGTGTACATATAAACATTGCAAGGAACCAATATTCCAAATACAGATATCCTAATTTACTCATAATGTAAAAAAAAAGAAATTCACAAAGCAAAAAAGCCTAAACTTTTTTTCAAGCAGTCGCTGAACCATTAAAATGTGATCCAACATGGCCAACCAACATATGATGGACAGAAACATTGTAAAAAAAGGCATCTGTATACAATTTATGAAACATCCAAGTCTACTACCCTATGAAATATACATTGTAAAGCTTAATAATACAAATAGTAAAACCCAGCAGCCACTACCTTATGCATGAACTTCCCTTTTTTGAAATTGCCTTCAGTATTTTTGTTATTGTTATACCATTTGGACTATTAATACTGTAACAAATATACATACCAGTTACATATACATGTATTGTAGATATAGGATCTCCTCTACGTCTTATCCCATCATTAATCATGTTAATTTCATTGAAACATATGATGTGTATTACTTCCATTCCACTGACATCTGAGGAGTTAATTCTGAAAATTTAAATTCCTGTGATTATCACGTAAAACACCTGAAATTGATGCACTGCTTTCCGATAAAAAATAAATTGGCAATACAGTTCTCTCTTGGTCATGTTGGTGAATATTTCAAAAAAAATATTTAACGAGAGAGAAAATAAGTGTCAGTTTTTTAAAATTTTATATTACCAATACTGGTAATTAGAATGTCACTAGTTTTCTGATTTGAATTGACATTTATTGTTATTCATTTTTTCAGGATCTTGTACAGCTGACACTACAGTATGGTTTTGTTCATTGTTGTAGGTCATACAGTGACCTAAAATTTCTTACATCCCCTTCATGTCGACTGGCAGAAAGTTTTCTCATTGGCAATCCTACCCATCTCCTTATTTTTAAAATACTAAATATTTTCTATCTGTAACAATAAAATTTTATTGATTTAATATAAAGGTATTCTGATCAACACTATGAGGCAATGTTCAAAACACTCTGTCATTGTCAGCGATCAAATTTATTTTAACTCCAATGGCAATGTATTTGTGCAAGACCCAAAAGTACTGCACATGTACATGATATACCCACATACATGTACATATACAATGTACTTAATAAATCAGTGAGACATAAAATGTAGGTCAAAAAGATATCATGCTGCATCATAATTTATACAATGCAAGTCATAATCATGTACATGATATTTGAACTTTATAATAGTAAAGGATAGATAGTCTGACCAGTAATAAAGCCACACAACACTGTGTGACAACAGTGAAATATAAGTCACCCATAGATCCACATACCATTATTGCAGGTCTTTTGTATATACAATGTATACGTTTAAGGTTACTTAGAATTGGCTGTCGACATACATGTACACATGCCAGTACTGTCATGCATTTTCAGAGTCATTGGACCCTAGGTTACTCCAGTCCATTATCAGTCAACTCCTCTGACCATTTGTTGTAATACAATGTACTGCTGAAAGGGAGAAAACAGTACTTTATTAACAGCATGTAGATGCAAATTGCAAGACTATAAAAAGTATTCAAAGAGTTTTGCAAACAATTAGCTTATATATTTATTGTTTACTAATATTAAACACGTATTATCAAACATCAAAAAGCAATGGATTGAAGTTGCTATTAACATGATTAAGAACAACAAAGAAAAATTAAAGTTAAATTTTTTACCCTTTGGACCTTTATTATGGTCCAATATCAAAAATCTAAATACATGGTTAGATTCAGCATATCAAAGAATCCAAAGAATTCAGTTTTTGATGAAATCAATCAAAGTTTAATTTTGGACCCTTTTGACCTCAATGTGGACCAATTTGATAACGGGGCCCAAAAATCAAAAATCTAAATACATGGTTAGATTCAGCATATCAAAGAACCCCCATACATTCCATTTTTTTTTTTAAATCAAACTAAGTTTAATTTTGGACCCCAATTTGGACCAACTTGAAAACTGGGCCCAAAATCAAAACTCTAAATACATGTTTAGATTCAGCATATCAATGAACCCCAAGAATTCAATTTTTGTTAAAATCAATCTAAGTTTAATTTTGGACCGAAAAAAAATCCCCCCCCAAATTTTTTGAACCCCCTTATGATTCATCACCCCCAAACTCAATCCCAGCCTTCCCTTTCTGGTATGGTACCTTGCAGTACAATTTCAGAGAGATCCATACACTTGAACACAAGTTATTATCTGGAAACTAGAAAATGCTTATTTTTGGCCCTTATTCCTAAACGTTTAGGGCAATTACCCCCAAACTCAATTCCAGCTTTCCCATAGTGATATGGAACCTTGTAATACAATTTCAGAAAGATCCATACACTTACACACAAGTTATTGTCATGAAATTAGAAAAAATGCTTGTTTTTGCCCCTTTTTTGGCCCCTAATTCCTAAAATTTTGAGGCAATTACTCCCAAATTCAATCCCAGCATTCCCTTTGTGATATGGAACCTTGTGGTACAATGTAAAAAAAATGCTTATTTTTGGCCCCTAATTCCTTAACTTTTGGTACCATAACCCCCAAAATCAATCCCAACCTTCCTTTTGTAGTATTGAACGTTATGGTAAAATTTCATAGAGATCCATTCACTTAAACTAAAGTTATTGTGCGAAAACCAACGTGTCTTCGGACGACAACAACGCCAACGTCATACCAATATACGACTGCAAAAATTGTTTGCGGTTGTATAAAAATGTTGCAAATAAGAAATTTTGTCAATTTGTAGTTTTACCAACATTTTAAACATACAGTTTTAGTTTATATCTAATTATTAGTAAAATTGAAATAAATGAACCTTTTGCTTTATTTAAATAGCATGGTTTTTGCCTTTGATGCAATAATTCAGCTATCAATTTGATTTTTGTTGAAAAAATGCTAAAATAAAGGCTTTAAATAATGAACTTTCCTTTCTTAACAGATAATAAAATTTTACTGTTCACCATCAAAATTTTACTGTTCGTGGGTGTTGAAATTAGGGGGGGGGGGATTAAAATAATAATACTTAGAGAAGTGATTTTTTAAAATAAATAGAGGTCATGGAGGTATGATACTTAAACAAGTGATTTTCATGTCAATATCCCAGATTCAGTACAAGGTTATCATTTGACATGACTGGACATGCTATAAACACAGATGTCGGTTCTTGTAATTTTAGCAACATAATTAGTCCATGTATTATACATTTAAAGCTACAATAAAATTAAATCACTCAGTCTAGTGATTTATTTGTACATGTACTACTTAAATTGGTGATTATTGAAGAATGACAACTCTTACTTCCAACATTTGTGGACACAATGTCATTTGAATCAGTGATTTAGAAAATCACTCATTTAAGTAAGTCCCCTGAAAGATTAAAAACAGATCCAAAAATACAAGATAAGTTTAATTCAGCATATTAAAGTACCCGAAAAATCCAAGACTTTGCATTAAACTTCATTGAAATTGGTCAAGAAATAGGTAACTTGTACAGTGTATTAGAAAAGTATTGTTTAGGCCCTTAGGCCAGGGTTTTTTTATTTGTTGGTTTACGGATCCGCTGACCCTATTTTTCTGATTTGCAGAATAAAAATAAAATTGACCATTCATGCTTTTTTATTCCCGCTGACCCTTTGCAATTTTTCCATTTATAAAAGGGCATAACTCTAGAACGGTTAAAGTGACGCCACCAAAATTCAAACTTGATCTGTGTTTTGTGGTAATAAGCATTGTGTATAAGTTTCATAACATTTGGTTGAGGCAAACTTAAAGTAAGAGAACGGAAACTAAAAATTTTGCAATTTTTCCATTTATAAAGGGGCATAACTCAGTGTTCTAGCCAGGATTTGAAAAGGGCAGGGTGCTAGTCAGAAAAAGGACAATTTTACACGTAAATGTCATTGAAAAAAGGGCAATTTAACGTGTAATTTTCATTGAAAGAAGGGCAATTGATTAAGCCTCATAATTAATTAGCATATAACTTAGGCACTATGGTAAAATCAAGTTTCAGTTAAAATGGAGTAATATAATTCAATACTTTTGGCAAAAATTTTTATGGTTTATTTCAAAGTTCATGATGTTGAGACACTCTTTAGCATCTTTAGTTTAGTATATAGGGAACTTAAACTTATATTTAACACAATATATATTTATTTCCAGTGACAGAGGGAGATATGAAGATTTGTTCACCCAAGAATATTCATATTTCATGAGGGCTCTGATTTTCGTCCTGTTTCTAAAGCTTATACAAATAAATTATATATTTTCCGACAATGTACATATATTGTATATTTATGTTTATAACAGCTGAGCAATAATAATTCATGGAACTAGAATTTAAGCGATGACAAGATAGCAAACCAAACATTTTGTTAGTAAGGTGAAATATATTTTTTCTGTCTTGAAAGATATTTTTTTTCTTTTTATTCTCGACCGACCGACTCGACTTTTTCATGTGTAAAAAAACCCTGGCCTTACCATGCTAACTCCTGAATGGTTAAGGCCATAACCCTCCAAAATCAATCCCAACCTTCCTTTTTTTGGTATGAACCTTGAGGTTCAATTTCATAGATATCCTTAGAAATGTATGGGATTTGCTCATAATTGAAGGCCGTACCGTGACCTGTAGTTATTTACTTCTATGTCATTTGATCTCGGATGGAGAGTTGTCTAATTGGCAATTATACCACATCTTCTTATTTTTATATTATATTCAAATTAATGTATGGATACCAGAAAATCCTTGTTTTTGGGCCCTAAATTCATTATTGTATATGCAACTTGTCATGGTAAAACTATACAACAATCAGGATTCATGACAATTACCAAATCAATATCTCCAAGTATAACAAACAAAGAAAGTGAAAAACAGATTATTTGCCTGAATTTTCTAAGTCCAATGACCATAGCTATGCAAAGAAAAACATCTCAACAGAATAAATATTGAACTTGATCTGTAAATTTGTCATGGTAAAACTATATACAATGTATAAATATCAAATCAATATTTTCAAGCATTACTTAAAGTCCCCTTGGCTTTGCTGGTAAGGGACTTATAAACATTTTAATATTTGTTATCATGGTTTTATCTATTTCAATCATGCATGTATGTTTTTCAATTTTCAGAAATAATTGTTTTTTTAAAGTTGCATGTAAATTCTCAAAGTATAACCTGTGAGGAAAAGTTGGTTATACAACTTCAACTAAAGTGTGTATCCTTGTGTTTGTGCTGTGTTGTTGAGTGTATTAGTTTCAGGTCTGCTTAAAGTCCTGACTAAGTAAGACATATAAATGAACAAATAACAAATTCGTTTGTTTACAAGCATCATTTACATAGGAGCACCCCTTTAGTAGAGCATAAAGTTTAACCCTTAAAACTGTTTGATATATTTTAATATAATATAAACTATATTGTTAGATAGAATTTCAATGAAGTTATTTCATTTAGTTGAAGAATATATCGATATGTTTAATCCAATTAACAGCCTGTCTAATTGGCAATCATACCCTCACATTTATTACAGCTAAATAATATTAGAGACATTATTTAAATTAGTTTAATGCCTCTGGTAATAATTTAATGTCAATCAATAATTTTCGATAACATACATAGCACATTAATGCATTTGCCTGGGACACTATATAGGACTTAAAATATGTTTATTATCTATAAATTTTAAAAGATAATTAAAAATATTTGAAAATTATACAGCATTTTTAGGTGTAAAATTCCTGGTTTTTCATGTTTCAAGACTGTAGTTTTTTTTTTAATAAATAATATCAGATCTATCGAAGTTGTAAATTTAACCAACCATTCGCTATAAATTAACAAATTATTTCAGACAATCCTTAATTTTCTCCTTAAAACATACTTATTAATAAGCCAAATAAAAATATACATTGGCGGATTTAGAACTTTTCATAGGGTGGGAGCACTAACTGACCTTAAACATGGGGGGGGGGGGGGGGGGGGGCTCCAGTCATGCTTCAGTGATTCCCTATATAATCAACCAAAATTTTTCCCACAAAAGGGGGGGGGGGGCAGATGATATATGTAGTTACCCTAACTACCCTACTTTTTAGTCTTAATAATAGCCTACCCTAAAGATTTTTTTGTCATTTTTCATTAAGCACTGTTAAGTCAGAATGTTACTCCCATAGACTCATTGAATGTAAAAAAAAAACACAACATAAAATTTAAATAAATCCCTACCTAGTTACTACTGAAATTATAAAATTAATATTTAGTTTAAAATTTTTTTCCCATTGATTGACAAACCCTGACTACTCATTAACTCAAAAGGAAAAGTTGAGAAATCTTGATCATTATAAAAAGGTTTATAAAATATTTTGAAGTGTACCAACACATAAATTGCAATCCAGTTGATACACATACAATCCCTGAAAGAAGATATTTTCTTTTTTCTTTCTTTTTTTTAGATGAGGGAGTAGTTAGCATTTACCGCTTTTGTATAATCATATTAAATCAAACATTTTTCATATTTCTGATAGCAAA